GAACTCAACATGCCGTTCACTATGATACAGTCGCCTCTAGCTGTGGCAGGCAAGGTCATCGAAGTACTGCGTCACCAGACAATGGCCACTTCCTCGTGATCAAGTGAAAGCGATCGATGACTTCTTCGAGGGCCGCCGAAAGGCGTCCACGTGCGTGAGAGTACCTCTCCCCATTCCAGTCCAACGTTCTGTGTGAAGAAAGCTACAGGGGGATGGCGTATCGTTCACGCATTCAACAAGTTGAATGATGCCACCATCCCCGCGCAGACTCCGATCCCTCGGAAGGACATGGTACTGGACTCCATGGCTGGCAGCGTCATCTACAGCGCCATCGACCTGACCGATGGATTCTATCAGATCCTGATGAGAACATCTGATGTGCCTCTCACCGCCGTAAGTACACCGAGCGGGATGCTCTGGGAGTGGCTCGTGATGCCACAGGGCCCCAAGAACGCGCCTGCCAGCTTCAATCGCATGGTCTCCCATGTGCTCCGCCCGCTTCGAGACTTCGCGCCGAGTTACTTCGACGAAATCTTCGTGCACAGCCGCGCTGAGGGCAACCTCAGTGCCGTGGACGTACATCTAAAACACCTGAGACAAGTCTTCCAGGTGATGCGAGAGAACAAGCTCTACGCAAACCTGAAGAAATGTGTCTTCTGCGCACCGGAGATTCCGGTGTTGGGATGCTACGTGAGCAAGAACGATGTGCGCGCGGATCCCGAGAAGGTATCGTCTATCTGTGCTTGGCCAACGCCGACAAGCCCCACTGAGTTGCGTCAGTGGCTTGGCATGGCCAATTACTTGCACAAGTACACGAAGTTTTACGCTGGGTTGATCCAGCCGCTTTCCTCGCTGCTGAAGAAGGACGTGATCTGGGAGTGGAAATCGGACCACCAAGCTGCATTCGACTCGGTGAAGAAGAGCTTGGCGTCTGCGCCGATACTGAAGCTTGCTGATGACTCAAAGTCATTCCACGTCGTCTGCGACGCGAGCGATTTTGCCATTAGCTGTGCGCTGATGCAGTTCGATGATGACGAACACGAACGCGTTATCAGCTATCAGTCGAGCCAACTGAAGCCAGCCGAGAAGAATTACCCAGTCCACGACAAGGAGCTCCTGGCAATGCGGTACGCTCTGATCAAATTCAGAGTGTACCTGCTCGGTGAACAGTCATTTGCGGTTTACACTGATCACGCATCGCTGCGGACAGCGATGAAGAGCCCTCACTTGTCGCAACGGATGGCCCGTTGGCTGTCATTCTTCTCCGAGTACAACTTCGTTGTTCACTACAAGCCGGGCAAGAATAACATTCTCGCCGACGCGCTGTCTCGGCGTCCGGACTACGATCCCCGTGAAGCGCTAGGACATCAGCTCGCTGATGAGGACGACGACGAATTTGCGGTCTGCGTGTCGTCAGGCATCAACTTGAAGTTGACCACGCCCACGCTCCCGCTGGGCGACGAGATTGCTACAGCGTACGATGATGACCCTATATACGGCGCCATCATGAAGCACCTGCGTGCTCCTAGTAGTGACACGCTAAGTGCCCTGTCAAAGACCACGCGGAATCAGATCGATCGATATCGACTGGACGGTAATCTGCTCAAGTACAGCATCGACAGGTTCGATGGTCCTCGAGTCGTCGTCCCAAACGACGCTGATCTACGTGCGCGCATAATCCACGAGTATCATGACGCCCCGACTGGAGGACATCTCGGTCGCGAGAAGACGTACGCGGCTCTGTCGAGAGACCTCTATTGGCCGCACATGTACAAGTGGGTACGCAAGTGGGTCCGCACATGTGAAACTTGCCAGCGAGTCAAACCGTCTTCGACGTCTCAGGCCCCATTGCGCCCTCTTCCGGTCGCCACGGAAGCCTGGCGCTCCATTTCGATGGACTTCATCTTCGGTCTTCCGCCCGATATAGCCGGGCGCACAGGTGTACTTGTGTTCGTTGATCGTTTCAGCAAGATGGTCCATCTCGTTCCGGTGGCGGCCTCAATCACCGCGGAAGAGTCTGCGGCCCACTTCGTCGACGTGATTTTTCGTCACCACGGCCTGCCGGAGAGGGCTTGCTATATGCAGTCACAGGGCTGAGAACATGGAATACTATGCATTTTGGCATGCTTAGCCTCGTCTCATATTTTATACGTGTTATAGACTTGTTCAAAATAGTACCATCTATACTACTAAGTATTCGTAGTACTGCACCCCGTTTTCGCGCCCTTGGACGTATGATAAGCTTCCGGATGTAATGGAGTAAATCCAAAATTTGCAATAATTTGTCAGCTAAAGTCTGCAAATTCTATATGATCCACCTCCGTGAAAATGGGAGTCTGTACTAGAATGCTCCTGATCATACCGGTACAAGTTTGCGCATTTATCAGGAGTATATCGGTATTTATGGATTTGCTAAACGTTAGAATTTTTTTAATTTTCCTTAAGTGCAATCATGGCAGCTATTTCATATCATTTCTCGTAAAATTGGATACCCTTGCTGTTTTTAATTTTAATCGTTTTTTTACCTATTCTGAAAAGAACAAACTAGAACGGCTGTACCGGTTTTGGAAGGGTAAATTATTTAGAGGGTACTTTAGGGTCGTAGATTGAATGCGCACTTAATTGACATTTTTGTAACGGCTGGTTAAGTTCGCATCGATGCACTCCAACTCTTCACCTCTTCGTTATGCCCCGTGCGAAAGCCAAGATAACGCTTAAGGCAAAGCGTGCCAAAAGCAAGACGTCCGGGTCTAGCTCGAGACCACACGCTGCTTTCCGCAAGTGGGATCACATTCCCCGTCTCGTGGTGTTCGATCTGGACTTCACGTTGTGGTTCCCTGAAATGTACGAGCTGTGGGGAGCTCCGTTTCAGAAAGAACCCCAAAACGCGGGTTCGTTAACGCAATGCCAGGGGGAAACAGTGCCACTTCTTTGGAGCTGTACACACGGTAATATATAATCTGGAGACAGACCCCCAGTTCCGAGACACGACCGAGGTGGCGGTGGCCTCGCGGACGACGGAGCCCAAAATGGTCCAAGACCTGCATGCGACTCATGGACGTGGATATCGGCGGTGTGTCCTCGAAGGGCGATAAAGAAGAAGAGGACGAAGAGACGGAAGAGAACGACAAAGAAGAAGGTGAGGGGGTGGAGAAGACATCACTGCAGAGCATCGTGGACTATGAAGCCATCTACCCGCGCAACAAGCGCGTGCATTTCGAGCAACTCAAGAAAGACAGCGGCATTCCATATGAAGAAATGCTCTTTTTTGACAATGAATACGGCAACGTGCATGACATTCAGAAAATCGGTGTAACGTGCGCGTATTGCCCTCAAGGGCTCACAGAAGGGTCGTGGATCCAGGGCATGGAGGCGTTCCAAGCCGCGAAGACGAAAGAAACTAACTAGAAATTAATACTGGATTCCTTCGCAATAAATACTACTTCGAAGTATTAATGCTACCGGATATATCGCTGCGCTATCTCGATGAACTCATTGGCAAACTGTACACGAGAGCGATAAATTTGAGCACTACATCTCCAGAGCTCATTACGTGTACACCTTGTGCTTACTGTAATTTACCTGACCGACAAACAACATTGGTAAAACTTTACCAATAGCACTTTATCGATAATTCTTCTTCTACATATTATTGGAAATGTATTGACCAGAGAGAAATGGATCGTATCTGGTTGCAAACCTTAGTTGAGAAAGAGCAATCACACTGCGATGGCGGACCAGCTGAAAAAGGTTTCTAAACCTCATGAAGACGTGCTTACGCGGCTCCCACGCTTGGAATCAAAGAAGACTTTGTGCCGCGTCATGGAGCTAAATCAATTTAATCATCACGTGAGGAAGCTCGGTCCACTTGTGAATCCTGTTTTCGGCGAGCAGCCGGCGTTCTTCATCGAAGGTGGCCGCTGAAATCGAAGCACGGCTTCGTAATTGGGCTGTATTAAGCAGTTACTCGCTAATTTTGCGGTAGGAGACTGGTGGACCGCCCCCAGCAGCAGGCCCGCCCGCCGAAGAAGCAGTTCGCACGCCCTCTCTTACATCGATATAGTAGCCATTTCAGCCTTTAATTAAAATTTCGATGTTTGAGCTACGACATTAGGTGGAAAAC